ACATGAAAGAAAAATCAAAGCAAACATTGAAGGTGCACACAACATCAGGCAGGCAACAAATCAAACGACGAAATCATAGGCAGAGTGTCATTTTATAACATAGATATCATGTAACTATTATAAGTGTTATTATGATATTCTATTGATTATAGACATATTTTTGTTGATCTGATTATCGTAGTCGACAGGTGGGCGCGTAAAATAATACGCCATCTATTGTCTCTGAACACGAAACAAGCGTAATTCTCAAAATTCAAAATGACTGTAAGGATAGAACTACAAATTAAATATTACGATTTATGATTGAGTGTTTGACTGAGAAAACATTTTAGATTGGTATTCTCGGCTATTTATTTACGCTAGAAAGTATGATTTGATAGTCGAATAAGCAAGTTTGGCATCTCGTTTTGTTTGTCGTAGAGCTAGGGCAGAATCCTAATTTTGCAACCGCCAGGTTTAAAAAAGCCACTTTTTTCTCCGATAGATGTGGGGCCACTAGCTATAATACTGTGGAGTGTTACTGCGCACTGTGTATATATATATATTATAGGTGCGACATATATATATATATATATACTATATATATATAGTATAGTCCGTTTAATACGCTGTTTACATATATATAGTACCTATATATATTATATATATATTATATATATCTATACATATATATACTTATATATAAACGGATATATAGATACTAATTCAAGTATGCAATGTGTATATATTGTATATGTATAGAAATAGGAAAATATAGATGTATAATATCTCAAGTAAGGCTAAATATTTAAGAGTGATTGACAAGGCGGAGAAACGGGGAATAGTGCTATTTCACGTACAACATTATTCTACTCTTGCTGCGAGTCTATATAATTTCTAATGCTATTGCATTAATAGAATTTTTGGCTCTCTAAAACAGACCAACCGCTTGTCAATACGATACTCTAGGCGGAGATATCGGCTCCTAACGTCCCCTCCACATGCGCAAACGCGCTCGAATAAGCACTTTGTCAGCATCCTACACGCGGCTAAGCATTTGGCTATCGTTTATCCGCGCGCGCTTGTGAGCGGCTGATAATTGATGTTACTGCCCAATTTTGTACTCTCCTAGGCTGCGTTGTAGAGACTTAATTAAAAACATTGCGGCTCCATCATGACGGGCATTAGCCGTGGCTAGGAAAGATAATGGGAGATAAGGCAAGAGCGATGCCCGAAGTCACGCTGCCACCCTGCACGTGCACCACGAAATCATTCATAATAAATTAATGGCGGAATAAGCCGAACTCGTGCACGAGAAGGCAAACCTTAGCCCGTGTAGATGCTGACAGAAGTGGATACCCCGCCCCCCCCCCCCCCCCCCCCCCCCCCCCGCCCCCCCCCCCCCCCCCCGCCCCCTCCCGAGCGGCGTTTGGCATGTGGGAGGGGAGGTTTAGGGAGCCGAATACTCAGCCTAGGAAGTATCGTATTGACAAGGCCGGGGTTGTCTTAGTTTAGAGAGCAAAAGATTCTGCTTAATGCAATACGCATAAAATCTCATTCTTAGACTCGTCAGCAACAGCTAGGAATAATCATGTGTGAAATACGCAGCTGACTTTTCCAGCGTTTTATTTTCGTTGTAGCACTTAGGTGATTATTGAGCTCTTGATATATATGTATTAGGAGATATAACATTGTTTAAATATGTCATATGTAGTATATAATATATAGGTATATATATAGATATTCTATGATATGCATATATATGGATATACATATCAATTGTGTAATATATAGGCTATATATATATATATATATATATATAGATATAGATATTTAGAGAAAGAAATAGAGAGAGATATAAATGAATATATATATATATAGGCAAGAGTATACACGTGGATATGCGCATGTACACAATGGACATATATGCATATATAGCAGAAGGCTTGCGACTCTGCGACTCCGTGGCGAACGCAGTACTGTTAAGGCATATGGATGCAATATAAATGCCTTGTGGCGACGACGACCCACCTCTGGCGCAGGACTTGCTGGAGAGCGAGATAGGGATGTATATACCTATGATTGCTGACAAGCCGTGCTAGAAATGCTGCAGCACAGCGCACTGCACGCACTGTATATCATTATGCAGATAGATAAAGGCGGCAGTTTTTCACATCTGTGGCATACCCCTGCGTGGTAAGGGGAAAGGTGAACCACTCGCTCGTTGGTCCGTGGAGCGTGGATAACCGTAGGTGTATGTCAGAGAAGTATGAATGAATGGAAGTGGCGAATGGGAGCGGTGGGTGTGTGAACGCGCAGCGGCGTGCTACCATGCCGTATTCATCGATGAATGGTTTACATGAAAGGCGCCGCGGAGCGCTGGCCTTGAGCCGACGCCTACTCCCTAACCCTATCCCTAACCCTAACCGAGCCGAGCCGAGCATATATAGCGGAAGGCTTGCGACTCTGCGACTGGTGCGACCACGTATGTTAAGGCATGATGAATATAATTCCGTTTGCGACCAGACACAAACAAGTGCAGATCTATATACATGAATATATAGACGTATATTCAGCGGTGTAGTCGTAGTGACGCAAAGAATATATAGACATATATGTAGCGTTGTTAGTGCGACGGCGTAGAGTAGGTCTTCGAGGTATATATAGAGCGTATAGCTGGAGAGCGACATAGGGATGTATATACATATCTAAATGGTTATGTAGTGGAAAGTGTATGAGATAGGTATGTAAATCTGCAGCTCAGCATGTGCGGCGACCGACAGTATGGCGCCAGTTGGAAGATATAAATCCTGCGACCAGACATATCCAGGTAGATATCGATGGATGCTTTGCCATGTGTGGCGTGCACACGCGCAGCACACGCGCGGACCGCACGCACTGTATATATGCAGAGAGATATAAAGGCGGCAGTTTTTCACATGTGTGGTATACCCCTGCGTGGTAAGGGGAAAGGTCAACCACTCGCTCGTTCGTCCGTGGAGTAACCGTACGTGTATGTCAGAGAAAATATGAATGAGTGGAAGTGGCGAATGGGGGCGGGGCTGTATAATGTGGCGGGTGAGCGCAGCGGCCTGCTAGCATGGGGGGTTGCTATCCCCCGGGCGTGGAGGGAGAGTCACGTGATACAGTTGACGTATACTTTTCAAAGTCTTTTATCTTTCCACAGAAAGATTCCACAGTCATACTTCCGTACTAGACATGGCCTTATATCCCTAACCCTACCCCTAACCCTAACCCTGATCCTAACCCTAATCCTAACACTAGTGCTGCCACATTGCGGTACTGTCCCTCCACGCCCGGGGGATAGCATTTCCCGCTAGGCATGCCGTATACATCGATCGATGTGTACATCAAAGGCGCCGCGGAGCTATGGCCTTGAGGCTCTGACTGTTTGACGTTGTAGGAAACGTAGATAGGAATGTGTGTGTGCTCTGAGAGTAGGGTGATACTCCATTAGGAGTGTTCCCAACTTGAATGTCATTAATGGTCATAATAACATATATATATAGATATATATATATGGTCATGGTTATATATTAGCATTATATGAGCATGCATTAGCATATATTAGCATATTTACATCGATCAATGGTTTACATGAAAGGCGCCGCGGAGCGCTGGCCTTGAGCCTACGCCTACTCCCTAACCCTAACCCTAACCCTAACCCTAACCCTAACCCTAACCCTAACCCTAACCTTAACACTAACCCTGACTATATAGACTGACTGAGTATATAGACTGATGTGCGTATTTAGAATATACCAACAGAACAGAAGCACCATCTGTGCATGAACCAGATATATATAATATAATATAAGATAAGATAATTAGAAAAGAATATAATAGAAAGACATATAATAGAGCAACATATGTATACATAGCAGATTATATATACTACAAGTGTGGCGTTATATGTATAGAAGATGAAAGAGCAGAAGTACGCAAAAGCAAGGCACGATATGGGGGTGTAAACGCTACTAACTGTGAGCCCCTTAGCGAAAAGCCGGGTGGCAGAGTGGGAAATAGTCGCCATCGACGCTAGATGGCAGTAGCGATCAGTGGGAGTGCAATGGCGGAATGATTACATGAAATGCTGCATTTTGATAGTGCGTTTGCGGAAAATGGCCAAGGGCAACCTTGATTCAGGTTATTGACAGCGGAGACGAAGTTATATGACCGCGTAAGTGGCCGGGAAAGTCGACGAGAAATGTGACGGCCGCAGGACATGAATGGTAACTGAAATGGCGTGAAATACGCGAGCCGCGTGAAATCGTGACAAATGGTCAAAACAAGGGAGGTGGCGGGTGAAACGACGTATTGTCGCGCCTTTGCGACAACAAATGGGCCCCTTTTGCTCGAAATTAGTTGAACAACACCTTTCAAGATGACCTCTGTCAATTTTTAAGACTGTACGTGTACCCCCACATTAACCAAACTTACGACATGGTGTGTAAACGCTACTTTGAGCGCCTGTGGCCGTGGTCACAGACACTGAGACACAGCCGACTTCGGACCGTTTTCATTATAAAATGATGCTAATATAAGTACAACTTGTCAGTACTACTACAGTACCAGGCAAATTAGTCTTAATGTTGTGATCTTACCTAAATAACTTCACTTCAACACCGTCCAATACACCGCCCCAACACATAGCCGCACGCAGTTGCGGCGCACAGATACACAGGTAGGTTAGAGCTCTGTGCATGGCGTGCGGGCTATGTTGTTGCAGCGTGTGATTTGACGCGTGTTGAAGTGAAGTTATTAGCGTCAAAATCAAACATTAAGACATATTGCTGGTACTGTAGTAGTTACTGACAAGTTGTATTTATTAACCATCATTTTATTATTGAAACGGTCCTAGTGGCAAGTGCCTGTGCACTGAGACACAGAGTCAGACAGTGACACACACTCACGGTCACAGTCACACTGTACAAGAGACTGTTTTAAATGAGAAAGTATAAGTGTTGCGCTCTCATCATGTATAGTGAACGTAAGCTTACCGGACCGGCGGTACATAACTGTTGGTTATTTTGTGTACAGGCATTACAAACAGAAATTTACTCAGGTAATACAATCTTTGACAACAACAAATGCAGCCATTTCATCACTACGCCACGTTAGGTGGCGCATGGAAGTGACGTCAGAATTTCCGCTTACAGATTATAGACTGGCTACCTTTCCTAGTTTTTCTTTCCTACTCTTTGGTTTTATAGTAAACAGTTAGTAGATATGTACTATGGTTTCTATCTAGAAGCTGATCGGCTAACACAAGAGCAGTCACGCTATTTGTTTGTGTAAACTGTAAAGTACTAAAGGTAATAAACATGAAAAAACAACAACTAACATAAAAATTCAATGCACGTGTCCCTTGTTTATTTAAGCACATATTCAATTAGTTTTTTTTCTGGACATAATTATATTCCCAGTCTAGCAATCATATCCATAATCCAAAGTAAGACTAAGAGTAAGACTAAGAGTAAGACTTAGCTCCAAGAAACGGTATCGCTAGGGTTAGGATACCCTATAGACAATCCGTCGTATAGACAATCCGTCGCACAGCCTGGTCGGGCTAAGTAAGACTAAGAGTAAGACTCAGAGTCAGACTAGGTTACAACTTACAATTTACAATGATACTGATAGTGATACTCCCGGCTCAGGGATAGACTGGAAATGGCATTTCATGAAGTCTAGATTTCAATTTTTTTTCCCCGAACCCCCCTAGTTTGCCTCGTGACCTGCGGGCACTCGGATGCAAATCACACACCTCGGCAAGCCAAGGTGTGTGATTTTTCACTCGCCTGTCTTTTTCAAAACACAAGGACTGCTAACTCTAGTAGTACTATAGGCTATAGCCCGCAGGCGTAGCCGCGTACTACTAGTAGTACTAGTAACTAATACTATTACTACTACTATAGTAGCTAGTATGGGCCATACTATATTCTACTAGTACTAGTTGTAGTAGTACTATATTAGTATACACTTCTATATTCTACTACAGGCCCTTGGAGGCTCAAGTTTCAAGAAGAGTATAAGAGCGAAGCCGCTTCGCTCTTATACTCTTCTTGAAACTTGAGCCTCCAAGGGCCTGTGATTCTACTCTACTGAGTGCTATATTCTACTAGCAGACTCGGGCTTAGTCCAGACTCCAGTAATGAGTAATTTACTCAATTACTGCTGGGCAGGGTCCTGTTCCGAAATCGGTTGGTAGGCCTATACACTCGCTGTAGTCTCACACTGATCAAATGTTAGGCTTGAGTGTACTGTATACGTATGAGCCCATAACTTATCTGTGGATGTTTATGGTAGGCGGACAAACACATGCCTGAGACGGTGTAAC